GCTAAAAATAAATTTTTTGTAACAATTTTTTATGTATGTCACTAAAAATTGATAATTAGTGATTTTTTTTATCATATTTTTATAAATTGTCGCTAAAACTTACAATTAGTGACTTTTTTTATGACCAATTTTTTTCATATGACCTATTAGACAATAAATCCACTTATTAGGACCTACACGTAAGTATCTATTTTTTTTAATTTATATATAAATTTAGGGTAAATTACATTGACACCCCCTGAGATTTCTGTTTAATACAAATTTCTCTTTCACGTTTAAAAATTACACTTACCCTCCTGTCAGATTAAAATGACATATTTGTTCCTTAGCCTTTATACATATAAAATAATAAAATAATGTTGATATTTTGTTCATGTTATTTCAAGAGAAATAACAATCACATTCTTTGGTTTAACTCACACAAAAAAATAAGTTTTTGTTAATTTTTGGTGTTTTTTTTTTATTTTTATTGATTTTTAAAAATATTTTAAGCAACTTTTTTTTTAGATGCACTTAATCTATATATACTTAAGAAGTATAATATTTTGTGATTTTTTTTTAAATTCACCAAACACAAAAAATATAAAATACAAAAATTCAGTAATATTGTAATAAATGTGAATGACGGTGTTGGTAATACTGTAATAAATGTGGGTGGATAGACGAGAAAGAAAAATGACGGTGGAAATAAAAATAAAAAATTCTATTAATATATAAAAATTTACACAAAAAATATCATAAAAATATTGTGATAGTGATGTTATTGTACATATAAATCATTATCGGTGTTTTGTTTTAAAGTGAAAGGTGACCATTAAGTAGTATTATTGTGTTTGAAAATTTTATATAAAATTTATGATTGTATATCATCATTCAATAAGAATATGTTTATGTAGAATTTAACGATAAAAAATTGTAAAATGTAGTTATGATGATAAGAAGAAAAATGGCAGGAAAAATGGCAAAATAGTCATTTAGATAATTTTAAGACATGATATTAGCGATTTTCAAACATGAGAGGGAAATTTGTATTAAACAAAAATTTCAGAAGGTGTCAGTGTAATTTACCCATAAATTTATGATTCAAACACATCTTAAATATGTGGTATTATTGAAAAAACATGAGAAAATTACAATTCAATTGAAATTTTGAAAAATAATTACAAAAAAATAATAAATTTTATAAATATTAATAATTAAAATTATAAATATTTTCATGAATTTATAATAAATTTTCCATAGATATCCCAAAAAAATATATACATTGACATGACAAGCATGACCTTGATAATATGAGGAGGAATGCATTCCAAGGCACGCAAGCAAAGCAGGCCAATCAGAGAGTGACAGTTTGATAAATTGGCAATCCTGCAGGTGAATAAAGGCCGTTTGTTTGTTTGTTGTGTGTATATGTATACATGTATGTATTTTGATGGAAGGAGATGGAGATGGAGATGGAGATGGAGAGGGAGAGGGATGATGACTTCATGGTTAGCATTCTGCAGTGTAATGTCTTCCATCTTTATATTGCAACACATCTCTCTTTCACAGTCTCCTTTAATGCTAAAAAAAAAAAAAAGCCCTAGATGGGGAAATAAAAAAAAAAAAAAAAAAGTTGGAAAGAGAGTATCACTCTCACTCTTAGTTTCAGTCTCAGTTCTCACCACCACGCCTTCCCATTATACAGTTGTAAACTAAACTCTACATGCACGTCCACATGTATACATCTCTATTATTCCCACTTTGTTATCTATATCTATATTCTATTAGAATAATGCTTGGGACCCTTCTGGGGTCACCCCCTTATCTCCTTTGTCACGTGGCGGGTGGTGATTGGAGGAGCAGGAAAAAAAAGAAAAAGAAAAAGAAAATGTAACCAATGAGAGAGAGAGGGGGTCAAAAGGGGTGGGGAGAAAACAACAATGATTCATCCCCAATTTTTCTCCCACCCCCTTTGACCCCCTCTTTCTCTCATTGGTTACATTTTCTTTTGCTTTTTCTTTTTTTTCCTGCTCCTCCAATCACCACCCGCCACGTGGCAAAGGGGGGGGTGAGAGGGTGACCCCCAAAAGGGGGTTCTAAGCATTATTCGGGAGAAAAGGGGATGAATCATTGTTGATTCTATTATATAATATACATAATTTAAGAAGTTGTCAATTTTTATTTATTTATTTATTTATTTTTTTTTTTAAATTACAAACACACCATATGGAGATTTCCTTAAAATATTAATTACCTTTGCAGTCATAGAAATTATGTTATGTCTCTAGAAATTCTTATTTGTTTTCCTAATCGGCGAAAGTCAATAATTAATTATTAAATTAGCACTTTTGGAGAGTTAAAACTCGCACTAATACACCTTCTAAAAAAATCTTGTCTTTCCATTCCACTTCTAAGAATGAAACTCAAGACCTCACCTTTAGTAGAGACTTGATGACTAAATGGCCAACCAATTAAGCTAAAACCCCTTGGTTCCCTTAAAATTTTCTAATATTGTATAACATATAATCATTTTCATTCATTAACCATTAAGTCAATTAACATGGTTAGAAAATTAAAGAATTTATGTATAGGTCTTAATAGTTGGACTTGTTATCTAATAGATCTTACGATAATTAATGACATTTTTCATCAAACACTGTTACAAAAATTATTAATTGTTAATTTTTAGCGATAGTTTAAAAATTTTATCATAAAAAATATTACTAATTATAAATTTTAGCGACAATTCAAAAAAAATCATCACAAAAAATATTACTAATTTTCAACTTTCAGCGACAGTTTGAAAATCGTCACAGAAAAATGTTACTAATTGTAAGTTTTAGCGACTATTTATAGAAACCGTGACAAAAAAGTCGCTAATTATCAATTTTTAGCGACATATGCAAAAAATCGTCACAAACATTATTTTTAGCAATGATTTTATTAGGATTTATTTTCAATAGGATTTGATAAGAATTAAGTTCAGTTATTAAGATTTATTAGTAGTTTACCTTAGAAAAATTTATTTATTTTTATCAACCCTATTGAATAATAATTTTTTTAAAGAAGTATGTAAATTACATGGACAATCTATATATTAAACAAATTTCAAAAGATATATTTATAATTTACTTATTTCCTTAATAATATCCACAAAATAATTGCTACACAGTTATAATTAAACAACTGCTAATCGGTTATAAATTGAGCCATTGTCATTGTTTGTAAAATTTATTAAATTGTGCAAAATCTTAGATGTAAAATTATCAGCGCATCACGGTTTGGGGCCATCACCAGTATTTATAAAAATAGACAACTCAGAAATTTTGTCATGTTTTTTTTTTTTTTTTTTTACTTTTTCAGAATACTCATAAAACTTGTAACTGTTAAAACACTGTTAAACAATTTTCAAATTCAATCATCATTAATTAAATTATCCAAAAATTCAGATGCACAATTATAAACGTATCACATGTATTTATATATTCAATAATGCTAGGTAGTCCAAATTTTCTTAGCTTAAATGGCTCGAAACACCCAAAAAGATGTCATTTTGAATGTAAAACGATGTCATTTTGAATGTAAAATGACGTCGTTTTGAGCTATTTGAGCTATTTGAACCACACAAATTCAGGTCACTTATATATTATATGGAGAGAGATAGAGGGATAGGTGTTAAAAAGGTTGATTGGGGACTGAGCATATAGGGATGAGGAATTTTTGGGTGCTGTGAGGCAATTGTCATGGGGTATTTTCTTTTATTGTGATTGGATTTAACAGTAAGATTCATTATATTTATATTGAGTGTTTGAAATATAATAAGAGACATGCATATTTTTATCCAAAGCGTTAGGAGAAATTTGCTTAGGAAAAAATTTACAAAACACATTGAAGGGATGAAGTTCAATTTAAATGTAAGTCTTATTATATGTAATTAAAATTATATTATACATCAATATTCATGATAAAAATCTGAGTATTTTTTTCTTGTATCTAAAGTTTTGTATTTTTATCTCCCACCTCTTTCACCTTTGCTGATCCATTGTCTCCTCCATTTCCAAACTCTCCAAAATCCAAATATCATGAATTCCATTTCCAAACTCTCCAAAATCCAAACATCATGAATTCCCCAACATGGTGTCTCCTCCATTTCCAAACTCTCCAAAATCCAAATATCATGAATTCCCCAACATGGCCTCTCTCTCTCTCTCCAAATAAAACACAAATACTGCCTAGTTATCCAAAAAGTTAATTTAAAAATAAGTTTTAAAGTACGAATTTAAATGTCTTGTTAAATAAGAGGGTAATGAAAACCCCACATTTCAAACCCGCATTATGGATTATTTCATACAATTTTTTTCTATGGAACATAAATTCATTTAAAGTCAAAATCTGAGCCCAAATGGACAAATGTGTCTGACTTAATTTGGATTCTTTGTTTTGGGTTTAAATTTTGTGAAGTAAATATTGAGTATAAACACTATATTAAAAAATTTAAGAGGTTGGTCTAGTGGGTGCAGCTTGGGATCACGCCCAGATCTCATGTTCAACTACTATTAGGTGCTATCAATTCTTTGGAATCATGCGCCACAGGTTTTTTGTTAGAAAAAATTAATTTTTAATTGATATTATCAATTAGACTTAATTGTTATAATGTAAGAAATTAAAAGACAAAATCAATAAAAAAAATGAAAAAAAAAATTGACACAAAAGACAAACTATAAAGACCATGAGTATGCTATGCATTGAGAATCCTTACTTCAAAAACTATTTCAAGAATAATGTATGGTTTAAATTTAAAATTAATCTAATATGAATGTGATTTATTGATATAATTTGTTTAGTATTTTTTTTTTAAAAAAATATGTAGCTTTGCTAAGATTGATATTTTAATTTGGAGTGAAGAAGATGAAAAATATATTATTATTTTTATATAGAAATTATTTCCATATAACAGAAATACTCTTTATTTATTGCCTTTCTCGTCCCCACTTACCTTCTCAACAAACCCCCAAATCTCTCTCTCTCTCTCTCTCTCTCTCTCTCCAATATAATTATATTACAACAATGTCCTTCCCACACATATCCTCAAGTGAGAGTGCCTGTTTGGAAGCTGACGAAGAAGATGAAGAATCCACTCTTCTCTCTCTTTGTCCTCCAGGACAACACCGCCACCTCTCAAAACCCTCCTCCAATAACTATCTTTCTTACTCCTCCATCCAGCAGCCTCAGAGTTTTCAAAATACTACTACTGCTACTCACCAAGATGATGTTGATGATGATGATGATGATGATGTCACAATTGCTCTTCATATTGGTCCATCTAGTAGCTCTAGCAACCCTAATAGTAGTAGTCGTAACATGGTTGTTCTTGCAGAGGGCCAATACTGGATTCCTACCCCTGCTCAAATTCTTGTTGGCCCCACACAGTTCTCTTGCTCTGTCTGCAACAAAACATTCAATAGATATAACAACATGCAGGTAACATAACACCTTCATCAATCTCTGCTCTTTCTTTTTTTTTTTAAATTTAGTTTTTGGGTTGGTGAAAGAAAATTTTATTTATGCAAAATCACAAGTACAATAGGTACTGCTATGCTATCCAAATTACAAGAGAAAAGACAAAGGCCAAAAACATTATTGCTTAATGTCCATCTCTCTCTCTCTCTCTCTCTCTCTCTCTCTCTGTTTTGAACACATATATAAGAAAACAAATTCAATATATATAAATTTATACCAATAATTATATTTTAATTGTTTTTGTTCTTGATTTTCCTCCATTCTGATATTGTGTAGTAGTTCCTTAGATGCTTATGGAAGGTCCTTACTCCTAACTGTAATACACAGACACAACTACATATGAATTTATGTCTGTTAACTTCTTTTTCTAATTGTAGTTATGCTCTACACATGTATGTTTGTTATGTTCTTCCTTTTCTTTATTTTCTTGTAATTATGCTCTATCTACTACATACATATGTTTCTTTGTTCTTCTAATTTTCTTGTCTTGATGCTCTACATAGTTATGTTTGTTATGTTCTTCTTCTGCTTTTTTTTTTTTTTTTTTGATGACTCGCTATCTAGCTTACTGGACCAACTAATTCAGGAAACCAATTTCACCGTCCACTAGCACAGGCCAATTAAAAACGGGGCAGAGTTCTTCTTTTTGATCGTATCACTTTCTTATATTTATTCTCTACATATGTTGCTTAGGAAAGAAACCTTGCCGTGCATTTCTTGTTTTAGTAAAAATCTCGTGCACTAAATCATTTTTTTAATGAATCTTTGCTATGTTCTTTCTTATAATTTTCTGTTATTTATGATTTTCTAGATGCATATGTGGGGCCACGGATCGCAATACAGAAAGGGTCCAGAATCTCTAAGAGGAACAAAACCAGCCTCATCAATGCTGAGACTACCCTGTTATTGCTGTGCAGAGGGTTGCAGGAACAACATAGATCACCCAAGATCAAAGCCATTGAAGGATTTCAGGACACTCCAGACACATTACAAGCGAAAGCACGGCACGAAGCCATTCGGGTGTCGCAAATGCGGGAAGCCCTTTGCGGTGAGAGGGGATTGGAGGACTCATGAGAAGAATTGTGGGAAGCTGTGGTTTTGTATATGTGGATCAGATTTCAAGCACAAGAGGTCATTGAAAGACCATGTTAGGGCATTTGGAGATGGCCATGCACCTCACAGTGAGGACTTCTTGTTGTGTGAGGTTTGTGATGAAGAAGAAAATGATCAAGATGATGATGAAGAAGAACATGGAAATGTAGGCCTTGGTTCTGTACTGTTTTGATGCATGTGAAGGTGTCGTTTTGTTGGTACCTAAGACTGGTCACTGTCTATTTGTGTCTGTGATGTTTTGAGAGAGAGAGAGAGAGAGAGAGATGGGGAGAGCGACAAGACAAACAGTATAATGAAAGCCATGGTTCTGTTGTGCATTAATGTTGGAAGTGCCATATTTTTTTTTTTTTGAACTGTTGGAAGTGCCAGTTCGATAATCTGATTAAAGTGACTTTTGTGGTTATGGAACATAGAAACTTACCACAACACAGAAGTATACGTATGAATCTAAAAAAAAAAAAAAAAAAAAAAAAAAAAAAAAAGTATACACAGAAATTATAAGAATAAAAAATATTTTATAAAATTTATTAATAGAATTTAATTTTTTAAAAATCTAATTTATTTATATAATTATGTATTTACTTTTGTATTAATAATTTGAGTAAATTACAAAGATACTCTTAAAATTTGCTTAAAATATTAATTATCCTTTGAGATTTTAAAAATTATATCTCACATTTTAAAAATTCTAATCACCTAACAACTAACTTCTCTATTAATTAATTATAAATACAATTAACGGTTTTTAATGATATCAGTAATATATTTGAATTAGTAATTCTAGTCATTTCATTGTTATATAAAAAGATAGTTATGAGGTTTTATTGTTCCATTTGTTATTACTTGTAAGTTAATTTTTATGATTATAACATTTTAAACTATTGACTTAAGAGATTTAAAATTTTGTATAATACATCTTTTCATAATCTGTAAAAGCAAGTTGTTAGCGTAATCATGCAAAAAAAAAAAAAAAAAGAAGCTTTTTCTAGTTATAAAAAATTACTATTTTGAATAATGAATTATTTTTTTTAAAAATTGTTTGTCTCCACATTGTCTGAATATAAATGTGGAGCGCAATTTTAATAGAAAAAAAATCAGTAAATTTTTTGCATTGGGATTGTCTTCCCTCCCATTCATGATCGAACTAGAGCGTATTGTTAGATCCGTGAAGGCTTATCACAAGTCTCATTTTGATAATTTAAACCGTTCAATGTATCAAACTTGTCAAGTACTATATGTATGTAAAAAAATCACGTTGATCGGATATTAATAGCTATTTCATTGGATCAAATTTTTGTCAACTGTTTATTTTTTAACCATCTATTTTTTTTTTATATAAAATTGATTTGATCATATAACTATCGATATCCGATCAACATAATTGTTTATAATTATATAATATTCGACGAGTTATACTATTGACAATTTAAATTATCAAAATAAAATCTGTGATAAAGCCACAAACTTAACAGCGGGGAAGCCAAACTTTTTTTGCATTTTATGTGTGTGTGTGTGTGTGTGTGTTTATAAACCGGTTTGTAATGTAATTACATATGAAGGAGGGGAGAGAAGTGACCAATTGGAAGGAGAGGACAAGTGAATTCAGTAACTCCAGATAACAACGGCAGACATGCAGTGCCATGTATACAGTACTACTCTCAGATTCTACTGTTCATTAGCATTGCATTTACCATATCTCTCTCTCTCTCTCTCATAGTCAGAGTGAGTCTTTCTCTGGTCTCAGTCTCCCTAAGCTTCGAGACTACTACTACTAGGAGTCCAGATTCTCTGCAAACTTTTCCCAAAACGAAGTCGTTTTTGGGGCAAAACTTCGAAAAAAATAAAAATAAAAAAAAAATATACAAGAAGAAGCAGTAGCCGATAACCCTCCCTTGTCTTCTCTCTTCTAGTTTAAAGAGAGATTTTCGTCTTCGTCCTTCCAGATTTCTCTCTCAATTCTTCTTTCAAATTCACACATACATCTTATTGATAATCTATTTAGGTTCACACATTTATCTGATGTAATTAACAGAGTGGTCATATAAGGATTTAAGAAATGTATATTTTTTTTTTGTAATTTCCGTAGTTAAATCCCTATCCTTCCATGTGTTTGTAATTACAATATCTTGTAGAATCTTGTAAATCTTATCATAAATTCCAACTTCCATGAAATAATTACTCCTCCTTCTTATTTTCTAAAAAGTCTCTCTCTAACTTTTAAATCCACATTAAACCCACTTTTTAATTGCAGCAACCATATAAAGCAAACTCCTTTTCTCTCTCAATTAAGCCCACTTCTGTGATTTCAAAGTTTTTTTTTTTTGTGGGTAAAATCGTTTGTATATTTGTTTGTTTTGATTTATAAATATATATATATATTCTCTCTATGTTTTGCATAGATCTAGAAGGAAAAGAAAGAAAGAAAGGAATAGGAAAATGAAGGAAGGGGAGGTGCGGCTAGGGAGGACTGCCGGAAGAGGAGAACGATTGGGGGAGGGTCGTCGGAAGGATTGGGGGTCGCTGGAGCTGGTGGGGAGGTGGCCAACGATGGGACTTTTGTTTCGGTTATATTTTATCTGCTTTTTTTTTTTTTTTTTTTTCAAATTTTACCTCTAAAACCACATCGTTTTAGGACAATGCAGAAAAAGCTTACAGGACCACTGACCCTTTTTCTGCTTTTGGGGTTTCCCCAAAGTTCTCTCTTTTTTTTGTTTCTTTTTTTTTTGCCCTTTTTCAGATCAACAACAAACAGATACTACAATTACATTTTTTCAGAGGCCTGTTTTCTTGTCCTCTCTTTGCTGTAAATGTGTGTGTGTGCATGGACTACTTGCATGTTCTTATCATAAGCCATTTTGGCTTCCTTTTTATCTTTTCCTTCCCTTTCATATTTCTATCTTCTGAATTTCCATCAAAATATGTGTTGCCAATTCCATGCATTATTCATCCATCTAGCATGCATGAATGCATCCAAAAGAAGTTTTATTACTATCACTATCATCATTACTATTCTGTTTTTTCTTTTCCATTTTTTCTCTTTTTGGGAATTTATTTTGGGGGAAATTGCAAAAACATGTAACAGTAGAAAATTATTGCACCAGAAATGAAATTTTTTGTGATGCAATTCTGACATACAGTGAGAACTTGCACTATACATATGGAAAATTTGCACCATACACATAGTAAAGTTGCTCTACCATGAAAATGCAAATAATCTTTGACTATCCAACTAATTTGAAATTATCTTTATTTTGAGAGTGTTACTAATAAATGGGAAGCCAAAAAAATAATAATTACAAAATAGTGGTGAATAAAAAATTATTGCAGGGAAAGATTGAAAACATTTACAAATTGGTTTTTTTATGAAATTACCAAATTATCCTCCCTTTTTCTCTCTCATATCTTTCCCTTACTTCTCTCCTTCCCTGCAAACCCTTAAACATAGCAGTCCAAATTCGGAGGTTTTTTGAGATTTGGGGTTTAGGTTTCTTGATCTAGATACCGTCATCGCAATCTAGTTTAGGGTTTTCATGAACTAATTATAGTCGTCGTCACTATCCAATTTAGGGTTTTTGTCAACAAAAGAGAAGTTGACAGGCAATATTTAAAAAAATCCAAAACCCAAATAAGGGGGTACTTTTAGAAACCCAAAAAAATTGTGTTTGGTTGTGATTTCAAAATGTGATTTAATGTGGTAGTTTGAGTATGGTGTTTGGATGGAGCTGTGGAATTAATTTTTCACAGCTCTGCAAAATGCTCTGTCTGTTTTGTCCAAACCGAGCGTGTGTTTCAATTTTTTTTCCAAAATGGGACGTCCGGCCGGTTGACCAGAATAGTGATTTTTTTTTTTTTTTTGCAATTGATATATAATAGACAAAAATATTTTCTGAAATTTTTAAAATTTTTTATGTGCTTTAAAATAATTTTGAGTTGTATGAGTTGTAAATTTTTATATCAAATTTCAAAGGTCACATCAACAATTTCCCACTCAAATCAAAACTCTTTTCAAAACTTTTTACCAAATAAATTTTCTACACTTAAATCATAATTCTACAATACACAAACTTAAAATACAACTCATACTCTCAAATTACATTTACAAAACTCTACCACACGCTAAAACTTCCAGAAACTTTTATTTGAAATAAATGCAAAGAAAGCATGAAAAAGAGAGGGGAAAAAATAAGTCACCTATTAAACATTTCAAAGCAGACTGCCTATATGTGTTTTAGAAACTCTTAACTAGAGCAAAAATGTTAAAGAGTTTAAATATTTTATCAATTTTTTTACTAAACATTCGTATGAGAGTGGGTACTGCATGTGAGTGTTCAGTATGTTCAGTAAATTTTTTGGGTAATTTTTTTTGTATATCTAGCATTGTTTTAACTAGAAATTATCATATGAATCAAAAAGATTATGTGACTATATACCCATCCAAAAACAAGATAATGTTAGAAATACCATTTTTTTTATTAAATAAATAACCAAATGTCTTATATGGGTTTGGAGTCCGCAATTTTATGAATCCCACACCCATGTAAGAAATTTGATTGTTTATTTAATAAAAAATTTGAGATCTATAATGTTTTCTTCCAAAGACATCCTCTTTTTTCTCAACAATGTCAGGTATCATGAAAAACCTTTCATCAAAATAATCATAAAAATTTTGTGACTATTGGATTACATTTAGAATAAAGCACTACACACTAATTAAGATAATCTAAAAATTATAAATATTTCTTGATCATTTTCATAAAAAATTTTTCATGATCCATAACTTTTCTCCTTATTTCTCCATCAGTTGTTTGTAGGGTCATTTAATTCTTTAAGCATCTGTTAGTGGTAGGGCAACTACTGACTTGGTCTAGTCATAAATGTTACTCCATGCTTCATTTCTGTTAGGCAACAAATCAACTTTAAATTCTTCTACACAAAAACTACGTTGTTATTTGAAAAAAAATATTTTGTCCTTTTTATCTAATTTTACATTATACTCATCACTAATCAAGATATCAACATTGAATCTATAAAATGACTAACAAGTACGAAGAAATCACAAGGCCCAACCCAGCTAAGGAAATGCAAGGCCCAACTAAGCACAAAAGGCCTAACCCAACTAAGGAAACACCAAAAAAATAATCATTACAAGGCGACAACCAGACGGTCAAGGAAAATATGTCTCTCTGAGTATGCACACCTCATAAACACTGAGTTCTTGATCTCTCTCTTAAAGAACGGCTCTAGGTTCATCATTGGAGTACCCTCAGGCCAGCACTCCCCGATTGGATGACACTAGTGGTGCTTTGTTTTGTATTAGAATTTTTTTTTATCAATTTAAGTGAGCAGATTTATGA